AGGCTGACCTGGCTCCACACTCACCAGTGAACGTGAGAGAGGCACTGTTGCCATGTGAGGTTTCCTCATTTATTTCAAACCAGAACTTGAATTTCATTGGACAATGAAGTGCGATATATAGAATATAAAATATTGTGGCATGGTCGTGTTAAAAGACTGGTCATTCACTTGAAATAAAGTCCTAGCTATCAGAACGAGTGACTTTTCTTGCCCAGGACGATGCGTTTTCCATCTCTGCTCTGCATTCTAACCTCTTCTGCCTCTGTGGGTGATGCTCTGACCCTCTTCTGGACTTTTCTTTTAGCTGATAAATTAACTCACACCTCTCTTATACATAGTGAATAAGTAAAGTAAATGAAGGACCAGATCTCCCCCATGCCCCACTCTATCCAGGATCTCCTCTTGTGATCCCTTCAGAGCAGTCAGGAGTCCATCGTGTTTCCAAAGCCATGCTCTTTCAGAAGCGCTGATCCCCAGGCCTTGCCTCGAAGGGGCCTCTGGGAACATTCAAACCACCATCTTAGTAGTGGGTAGTCAAGCTCTTCGATGGGTGCAAAGTGGTGTGGATCCCAGGTTCCAGGGTTGGTGGGAACGTGGCAGGGCTGCGCTCAGGCATCTCTCAGGGTCAGGAGCAGAGAGGTGGGGTCATTCAGCTGAGATTCCCTTTTGTGTTCCAGTCACCAACTCCTTCTGATGGATGCGGTGCGTAGCTTTCATATTAATTGATAATCCTCTACACCCAGTGCTGCTGCTTTGATTTAGATGTGCCTGAAGAGGTGATTTCAAGTCTCATAAATGTTTCTCACGCTTTCCATTTTCTCCATTTCTGTCTGTTGTCCACACTGGTAGGAACTGAGTCTACTCACATTGCAGCAGCCAGGGAAGAAGGAAAGGAGGCAAAGCAGGAGGGAGGGAGGAAGGGATGAGAGAAACAGGCAGAATTAAATTGCTTCTTGCTTAACACCCTTTAGAGGTCGTATCTTAGCTACTTAATAGAATCCAAACTAATGAACATGGCACACAGTGAAACTTTTCATAATTAGATTTTCTCCAGTGTCCTATAGCCTCACAACCCCTGTTCACACTCTAAAGGAGTTAACTGTGTTTCACCCAGCCTTCATTAACTTGCCATTTTCTCCTCAGAATGTTCCTTCCATCCCATTTTTTGTATCTGACTGGTTAATTTTAGTCATTCTTTCAGAAATATTTTTTAACAATGTAATAAATATGCAAAGGTTTTTAAAAGCCATTTTATATTACTAGCTTATAACAAAAACAAGACATATTTGCACCAGGATTTCCTGCCTCCCCACATTCAGGTGTTTTTCTGGTATTCACATCCATATGGCTAAGTAATCTGCTTTTATTGCTGTTTCTTGACTTCTTAAGTTGGGAATCTACCTATTGAGTTTTCCTCCTCCCACTCTTTCAGTACAGCATCTCCAGGAATGATGCTCAAAACATTTGAGCATGGACACTGAATAATTAGAACCAATTTCTCCAGACTGCGTAAAACTCAACACTCACTGTCATTGAGTTGATGCCAACTCAGACTGAACTACATGGGTAGTAAATTAATGGCCCTGGTTTTTTTAAATTGCTTTATTGGAGGCTCGTACAATTCTTATCACAATCCATCCATCCATTGTGTCAAGCACATTTGTACATTTGTTGCCATCATCATTCTCAAAACATTTGCTT